CTCTAGTTCACACATTTTACTATTTAGACTTCTAGCATAAAGTGTATAAGCACTTCAATAATTTGTCACTGTTTCTGTGTCTACCATTTCCTGATGTGTTAAGACCCTTTTTCATTTTATTGTCTCATCTTATCTGACCCATATTTCCCTCCTCTCCTCATGACTCGAACATAGAGCATCTCTATTAATAGACCTCCCCTAAGAGATGTCTGTGTCTGATCCATGTGCTCCTTCACACCTCATCGGTTTTCCCCCAGCCCTTAGTTTAAAAACTGCTCTACGACCTTTTTAATGTTAAGTGCCAGCAGTCTGGTTCCATTTTGGTTTAGGTGGAGCCCATCCTTCCTATATAGGCTCCCCTCATCCCAAAAGTTTCCCCAGTTCCTAATAAATCTAACCCCCTCCTCTCTACACTGTCATCTAATTCATGCTTTGAGACTCTGAAGCTCTGCCTGCTACCTGGCCCTGCACATGGAATGGGAAGTATACAGTTCATTCTCAAGCACCAAGACCTAATTTCTCATGAACACAGAGAACTTCAGTATGCTGTGATGAAATCTTGCATGAAATAGATCTTCTCATTCATACAGAAAGCACTGTTCTCGCTCACTGTTCCCATGTACTTGATCCTTGCTTTGCCATTACATCTAACTCTTACATAGTATCTCCCCACTATTCCAGTCCTGGGATCCCCCTCACAGCTCTGCTGATGTGCCTCATTCCTGACCTGCAGCACAGACTGCTAGTCTAGTCCAGTCCATGAGTTCCTTACACCTTGACAAGTGCACGCCATTCCTTACACATGGTGTGCTTCTCTCCAGTCCTCACTGCATTTCTTTATAGATTAGCTAGCTAGCACAGAAGAGCATTGGAATCATGTCATGCATGTACCAAGTGCAAAAAGTCATAACCTTTTGTATGTTCTCAGTAACACTCATTGGCTGTGTCTAGACTGGCAAGTTTTTCCGCAAAATCATCTGCTTTTGCAGAAAAACTTGCCAGCTGTCTACACTGGCCGCTTGAATTTCCGCAAGAACACTGACGATCTCATGTAAGATCGTCAGTGTTCTTGCAGAAATACTATGCTGCTCCCATTCGGGAAAAAGCCCTCTTGCACAAATCATTTGCGCAAGAGGGCCAGTGTAAACAGCACAGTACTGTTTTGCACAAAAAAGCCCCGATGGCTAAAATGATCGGGACTTTTTTGCGCAAAACCGTGTCTAGATTGGCTACGGACGCTTTTCCGCAAAAAGTGCTTTTGCGGAAAAGCGTCCTGCCAATCTTGACGCGCTTTTCGAAAATGCTTTTAACGGAAAACTTTTCTGTTAAAAGCATTTCCGGAAAATCATGCCAGTCTAGACGTAGCCATTGTGTATGCCACACACCCAGCATAAGGGCAAAGATGGGCTCCCTCAGCTAGTCGGGCTACAAGAGAGCCTTACTCTTGCCCATGTTGGTGGTCAGCTTCAAATCACTTCAGGCTGTACTGGGAAGCAGCAGGTGTCATTAGGTTTGGGATTTAGACAGAAAAGCTGAAAAAAATCCAGTCCAACTCCTCTTTAATGTCAATGGGAAAATTTTGTGAGAGCTTAAACTACATCCTAGGCTTAGTTGTGAACCCCCAGGGGAAGTCATACCAATGCCAATGCGTGGAGACCGAGTGAAAGAGATTGGAGTTCAAGGGTCTAGATTGGCTGTTTGTCACATGGAAGTATATTCCTGGTGCTTCCTAGGAGACAGGAAGGAAGCAAGTGGATTAAGTAGGGAGGGGACTTGTGCATGGTACTCTTCCCAATGGCCAGTGGACCAGAGCTCCCTGTAGCCTCACTTGGAGCACTGGTTTTTGTTATGTGAGGAGGGTACCATGGCTTAGCTGGCTAAAGTTCTAGATTGGCTGTTTGTCACATGGAAGTATATTCCTGGTGCTTCCTAGGAGACAGGAAGGAAGCAAGTGGATTAAGTAGGGAGGGGACTTGTGCATGGTACTCTTCCCAATGGCCAGTGGACCAGAGCTCCCTGTAGCCTCACTTGGAGCACTGGTTTTTGTTATGTGAGGAGGGTACCATGGCTTAGCTGGCTAAAGTGCCTGCCCAGTAAACAGGAGATCCTAGGTTCAAGTCCTAGTGGTGCCCTGTCATAAGCCTTTTCTTGGCTTAACCAGGAGATCTTACATGATCTAAATATCAAACAGGAGTAATATAAAAAGTAGAAACTAAGTCAAATTACAAAGGATGAATAGAAGCAAATAACACAAGCATGTAAGGGCAAGATTAGAAAGGCGAAGGTACAAAACAAGCTCAATCTAGCTACAGACATAAAGGGTAACAAGAAAACATTCTACAAATATATTAGAAGCAAGAGGAAGACTAAGGACAGGGTACACCTATTGCTCAATGAAGAGGGAGAAACAATAACAAAACATGGAAATGGCAGAGGTACTTAATGACTTCTTTGTTTTGGTTTTCACCAAGAAAATTGGTGGTGACTGGATGATTAATCTAGTGAATGCTAGTGGAAATGGGGTAGGTTTAGAAGTTAAAATGGGAAAAGAACAAGTTAAAAATTACTTAGAGAAGTTAGATGTCTTCAAGTCACCAGGGCCTTATGAAATGCATCCTAGAATACTCAAGGAGCTGATAAAGGAGGTAATGGTATCTGAACCATTAGCCATCATCTTTGGGAAGTCGGGAGAGATTCCTGAAGACTAGAAAAGGGCAAATATAGTGCCCATCTATAAAAAGGGAAATAAGAACAACCCAGGAAACTATAAAACAGTAAGCTTAAGGAAGATAATGGAGCAAATAATTAAGGAATTCATCTGCAAACATTTGGAAGATAATAAGGTGAAAGGGAACAGCCAGCATGGATATGTAAAGAACAAATTATGTCAAACCAATCTGATAGCTTTCTTTGATAGGATAATGAGCCTTGTGGTTAAGGGAGAAGAGGTGGATGTGGTATAACTAGATTTTAGTAAAACAAGGCTATTCAACATGCGGCCCGTGGGCCATTTGTTTGCGGCCCGCTGTGCAGTTTGGGTTTATGTGAGGCTCAACATGTGGCACGTGGGTGGGATCCTTTAAACATGGCCTCCACTGGGAACAAGCTCCACAATGGCGATGCATCTCCCAGATGGGGTGAGCATTGAAAGATGCAAGCGGACAGGCTGGCTGGAACAGACGGGTACAGGATGTCGGCATTTCTAGTCCCCCAGGAAGGAAGTGCCAGGAGCACCGGGGCATTGTGGGAAGTGCTTTACATTCTTGCCCATCAGTGTGAAAGAAGCTATTTTTGTATATATTTACATATATATTTGCATGTATATGTAACCACACTTAAGTTGCAGCCCTCAGCATGTGCTGTGAGTATCATTGTGGCCTCCGGGGCTTCCAAAGTTGAGTAGCCTTGTAGTAAAGCATTTGATATAACTTCACATTACCTTCTTATCAATAAACTAGGGAAATACAACCTAGATGGGGCTACTATAAGGTGAGCGCATACCTGGCTGGATAACATTCTCAGAGAGTAGTTATTAACGGTTCACAGTCATGCTGGAAGGGCATAACAAGTGGGGTTCCTCAGCAGTCTGTTTTGGGATCAGTTTGTTCAATATCTTCATCAACAATTTAGATATTGGCATAGAAAGTACACTTCTTAAGTTTGCAGATGATACCAAGGTGGGAGGGGTTGCAACTGCTTTGGAGGATAGGGTCATAATTCAACATGATCTGGACAAACTGGAGAAATGTTCTTAGGTAAATAGGATGAGATTTAATAAGGGCAAACAGAAAGTACTCCATGTAGGAGGGAACAATCCATTTCACACATACAGAATGGGAAGCAAAAGTCTAGGAAGGAGTATGGCAGAAAGAGATTTAGAAGTCATAGTGGACCACAAGCTAAATATGAGTCAGCAGTGTGATGCTGTTGCAGAAAAAGCAAACATGATTCTGCGATGCATTAACAGGAGTGTTGTAAGCAAGACATGAGAAGTCATTCTTCTGCTTTACTCTGTGTAAGTAGGCCTCAATTGGAGTATTGTGTCCAGTTCTGAGCACTACATTTCAAGAAAGATGGAGAAATTGGAGAGGGTCCAGAGAAGAGCAACAAAAATGATTAAAGGTCTAGGGAATGTGAGCCTAAAAAATTGGGCTTATTTAGTTTAGAAAAGAGAAGACCAGGAGGGGACATGATAGTGGTTTTCAAGTATCTAAAAGGGTGTTACAAAGAGGAGAGAGAAAAATTGTTCTCCTTGACCTCTGCTGATAGGACAAGAAGCAATGGGCTTAAACTGCAGCAAAGGAGGTTTTGCTTGGACATTAGGAAAAACTGGAATAAATGGCGTAGGGAGGTTGTGAAATCTCCATCACTGGAGATATTTAGGAGCAGGTTGGATAGACATCTATCAGAGATGATCTACATGGTGCTTGGTCCTGCCGTGAGGGCAGGGGACTGGATTCAATCTCTCGAGGTCCCTTCCAGTTCTAGTATTCTATGATTCTAGTAGATCCCACTTACATATAGTCATTAGTCATTCTTCAGTACAATCCACCTTCTGACTCACACAGAAGCACTGACATCAGTACTAACACAGGGGCTACATCTAGACTGCAGATGTCCAAGGAACGTGTCTGCTTTTCCGAATTTTTTTTTGAAAAAGCAGACACACTCTTTTATATTCCTGTAAACCTCATTCTATGAGGCATAAAGGGTTTGTCAAAAGAGCAGGGTTTTTTTTCAAAATTTGGTGCTGTGTAGATGCATCAAATTTCGGGAAAGTTTCTTTCGAAAGAACATCAAAAAAAGATATGCAATTTGCGTACTGCAAATTGTGTATCCTATTCCAATTTAACTCTGCAGTCTAGACATAGTCAGGAAGAGCTATGGATCCACCCACAGCATTCATTGCAGCAGCTTGGTTCTTCCTTGACAGTCTCCTATCTTACTAATAACCTCATCTACCTCCCACCCCCCCCCCTCTCTCAGCCTGCTACCCTGCAAAGAAAATAGGAAATTAGGTAAAAGCTACATATTGTGATACTACACACTACTGTCAATAACAATGGGCCTCCCTCTCCTTCCCTCCTCTTGGGACTGTGCTGTAAAAGGGCATGGTGGAGTCCCATGTTCTTTACCACTGTGATAAGATGCATTCAACTCTCATCAATTCCACCTGTCAATTGTGTGCAAGTTCACACCCTTACTCTTTCTACTCCCAGGGCTCTTTGTTGGCTGTTCACCTCATCAGGTGGGCCCAGTCACACACATATAAAGGAATCCCTTTCCTGGCAATGGAAGTCCAATGGGGCCTATCACTGGCTTTTGGCTGGTATCCACAGTCCTGGGTTTGGGCTTTGTACCTTCTAGGCTAACTGGAAATTCTCCCTGACCTGGTATGGAACAGTTCTCCCCAGCTTTTTCCCTGAGGCCTCTGCTTTTAGCAGTCCTGAGGCTCTAGCCAAGTCATTCATTCACTTCAGTCCCCAGGGAAACATAGTTAAATGAGTTTGGCTTTCAGCACCAACCTAAAGCCCTTTCAATTCCAGCCTTATGCTTGACCTGCCACACAAAACTTATCCCCTTCTCCGAGCTTTGGTCACGCTGCCAGTCGGGGAACCCAGGCCCTCAACTCAGGGTCCCTACAAATAGCAGCCATGTGTAGGTTCCTTTCATAGTTGCTGCTGCAATTCTCTGGCCCTTTTCCCACCTAGCCTCTTCCTCTTCCCCCTCACCTCAGGGCTGAAGTTCGCTATGTCTACACTACAAGCCTCTTCCGCAAGAGGAAATGCAAATGGAGTGCTCATTTGCATACACCATGCTCTCATTTGCATTTCCTCCTAGGATCCCTTTTGTGCAAGAGGTTTTTGTGCAAAAAAGCACTGTGTAGACATCTCCTTTTTGTGCAAACCCCCCCTCTTGCGCAAGAGCTATTCTTCCTCAAAAAAATGATATGAGGAGGAAATGTAAATGAGAATGCGTCATATGCAAATGAGCACTCCATCTGCATTTCCTCTTGTGGAAGAGACTCATAGTGTAGACGTAGCCTCTCCATTCCATAGTCTCTCCCAAGCTGCCCTGCCTATAGAGTCCCCCAGCCTTAGCAAGGACCACATGAAGTGCTAGAGTAACTCTGGCTACCTCTATACTGCACATTGTTGTGCAAGAAGATATGCAAATGAGGACGGGGATGAATATCACTGTGCCTCATTTGCATACCTAGTGAGCCACCATTTTTCTGGTAGGGGGTTTTGCGCAAGAAGGAACTATCTACACTGCTCCTTCTTGCGCAAAAAACCCCTCTTGCGCAGGAGCCATTAAATTGGTACAACCCCCTTGTGCAGAGGCTTTTATTGTTCTTTATGACACCAGCCTTCAGTCAATGGCATGTAAGTCAGTAAAAAACTGCCCTAAGCTAAACTAGTGAGACACTTTTCTATAGAAATAAAAGTGTCTGCATCAAGGGGGCTGCCCCAAGTTAACTCAATTGGCGTCTAAACCCCATTTATTTAATTCAGCACAGTTTTCTTATGGAGACAAGCACACAATTAAAATAAAAAAGATGCAGCCCTGCAGAAACAGTGCTGGGAGATGTTGCTGTTATGACTGGCCCTTCTAGCTTGGTGATACCTGGAGTGTAGATAAGGGTTAAGCAGTACATCAGATAGATATTATGGAATAATTATTGCCTTATAACTCTCATAATTATTGTTCAGGATACATATTCACAAGTGCTGTGTGAGCAGTAGGGGCTGCTGTAAAACCACAGACTATTACAATTATGGCCACTGTCTCATGCTAGCTGAAAGACATACTTACCAGAAGAGAAAGGAAAAAAGACTCAGGCCCCTTGCGTTAGAGACTCAAATACTTGGATATGAGAAGCACAGAGAAAGGACAGATTTTTCAAGTGAGGGCTTGTCTCTGTTGTAAATTATACCAGAATCAGATACAATATGAATTTAAAGTGTTTTACAATGGTATAATTCCCTTTGGGAACACTCTTATTCTGATTTAAGAGAATCTTTCTCTAACTTAGCATATGTCATTTTGTAAGGGTATGTCTATACATCAGAGCTATTTCGGGATACCAGAAGTATCCCAAAATATCTACCCCATGTTTTTTGAATGTTGTCACATTACTGGATTTTGAGGGGAGCAGCCAGATCACTGCTGTACCCATGGGAGGGGGGGTGTTTGCCCCAAAAGTTGGTACAAAGGGGGCCATGGGAGGTGTCAACTGAAAGCTTACTTTCTTCTGATTCTATATATGCTAGTCATGTAATTGCATAATGTCTGTGTGTGAAGTTATAAATATGTACTCTGTGTTGATGCTGAAGGATTCTCTGTCTGAGGCAGAGCAATGGGCTGGGAATGTTTGCCATGCTAATGAGCAAAGCTCCAGGGAACAATGGACCTTTGGAGGCCAAAGACACACCTGGCCTCTGGCCATGTGACTGTCCCCAGCTTGGAAGAAGCCAGGAGGGGATATAAATATGCCATGTGGCCGATTCCATCTTGGTGCTCAGCTCAGCTCTTCATCCGAGAGGCAAGAGTGCAGGGATTGAGGAGCTGGAATGAACTGTGGACCCATCCTGACATAGGATGTACACCGAAGACTTTTAAATCAGCACTTATAACATCTCTGCTGCATCGAGAACTGGGAGATTTGATGCATATAATGTATGATACTTCAACAACCTTACTCTCGTGCGTGTCTTTCTGGTAGTAATAAACCTTTAGATGTTAGATTCTAAAGGATTGGTTCAGCGTGGTCTTGTGGGTAAGATCCAGAGGGTAAATTGACCTGGGATCTGTGTCTGGTTTCTTGGAACCGGACAGAACTTGTTCGGGGTAGGTGAGATTGGGTTTTAAAACCCCTCACCTGTGGGCAGGCCCGGGGCTATTTGGGGCACAGAGAGAGCTTGGGTGTCAGAGGGGTTTTGCTCATGAGGCTTCAAGCTGGCCAGGCAGGCAACTGAAGTGCTCTGTGGGACTGGTTTGTGGCTTATTTGGGAAGGTCTTGAAGAGTATGCATGTGTTCATTTTAAACAAAATGTGGTTTGGAAAGTAGTTATGCATAAAGAAGTATGCTGTGGCTCACCACCCTAGAAACAGTCTAGAAAAGGCCAAGGGGGAGGGGGGTGAACTCAACATGTGGAGTGGAGAAGTACAAGCATGTGACAAACAAAGCCATATATGGAAAGGTGAATCTGATTGGTTTAGAGGTTTGTGTTATATAACTTATGTAACCTGTTATGTAACTGCCATGTGCTATAAAACAGAAAGGGGAGGGGTTTCTTGCTCGAGGGGCTCTGGCTGATTTTAATACCAGGGGCTCTCCCTTTGTGCACATTGAATAAAGTCTTGTTGAATTGAATTGAATTGAATTGAATTGAATTGAAGTATCGAAGACCCTTGATTCTGCCTAGCACCTGACTCTCTGGGAACCACAAAATCCCAACAGTCTCTAGTCTGGGGGCTGTAAGGAGCCCCTAGTTTGAGCAATTCGCCCTGAGCGGATGCCCTCAGCAGTGCCCAGACCCGGCCCAGACCGTCACAAATGTGGCCACTATTCTGAAATATAGCAGATGCATTATTTCGGCATCCTAGCAACCCTCGTTCCATGAGGGTTAGGGGCTGGCTCAAAATAGCACTTTATTTCAAAATAAACTCAAAATAAGTACACAATTTGCATAGTGCAAATTGCTTATCTCATTTTGTGTTTAGAGTGCAGTGTAGATATAGCCTAAGAGGGCTAAGCATAACAAACAACAACAACAAAATCTTACCCTTAGCCCAGAATAAGGGTACATCTACACAGCAGAGCAAAAGTCAAAGTAAGCTATGCAACTTCAGCGACGTCAATTGCGTAGCTTAAGTTGAAATATATTAATTCGGCTTTTGGTGCTGTCTAAACAGCTGGATGTCAAAGGAAAAACACTCTTCCTTCAACTTCCCTTACTCCTTGAGAAATGAGGGTTACTAGGAATCAGAGTAAAAAGTCCTCCAGCTCAACATTATTTCAAAATAAAGGCTGATAGTGTAGACATGCACTATGTTATTGCAGAATAATGTCAGTTATTCCAAAATAATGCTGCTGTGTAGACGTACCCTTAGGCTGTGTCTAGACTGGCAAGATTTTCCGCAAAATCATCTGCTTTTGCAGAAAAACTTGCCAGCTGTCTACACTAGCCGCTTGAATTTCTGCAAAAGCACTGACGATCTCATGTAAGATTGTCAGTGCTTTTGCAGAAATACTATGCTGCTCCCATTCGGGCAAAAGTCTTTTGCCGAAAAACTTTTGCACAAAAGGGCCAGTGTAGTCAGCAGAGATTTGTTTTCCGCAAAAAAGCCCCGATTGCGAAAATGGCGATCGGGGCTTTTTTGTGGATAAGCGCATCTAGATTGGTCACGGATGCTTTTCCGCAAAAAGTGCTTTTGCGGAAAAGCGTCCTGCCAATCTAGACACACTTTTCCGAAAATGCTTTTAACGGAAAACTTTTCCATTAAAAGCATTTCTGGAAAATCATGCCAGTGTAGACATAGCCTTAGGGTATAATGGGTTCTTGCCCTTTGTCTTAGTGGAAGGTCTTAACCATAGTGTCTCAGCCAGAGCTGACTGCTTGTCCATGGCTGCACTCAAGATTATGACATATGGTACATCTGATGAAGTAGGTTTTACTGACAAAAGCTCGTGGCCTAATAAATTTGCTAGCCTCAAAGGTCCCACAAGACAGCTCATTATTTTTATTACAGGTGAGGATGCTGTCATGGGGTGCAATCATGGAAGTCCTTTTGGGCTGTCCTCCTGGTGTGCTGATCATGCCAGTGACACATGCCTTTCTGCTCTCTGGGGCTCCCCACCACCTTTTTCTGCTGGGCCAGGTCCTCTGGTCTTCCACAGACAAGGTCCAGAGTTGGGTTACAGCCCCCTGCAGAGCAACACAGATGCTGAACCAGTTCAATTCCAAGAGGGCTCTGCTCTAAGGGCTTAGCATCCAGGAAACAAATCCCTCAAAAGGATCAAAACTCCAAATAAATCTATCTTGCTCTTTGTAATATTTTACACAGGGAAAGCTCATATGGACAGCCCTCTTCATCAGTGAAAGAGAGCTATGCACAATGGTTGTTCCCCCAGTAACAATTATTTTCACAGGACTTAATAATAAACAAAAGAGTTTGTATTAAATCTAACAAGAATGGTTTATGTGGTTGCAAGTGAAAACAGTAAGATCAAAGTAAGTTATCCAAATAAAATGAACAAAAACGCTTACTTAATTCTAATCCACTTAGAAACTTGTTACATGCTAACTCTTACCCTAAACAGCTGTTCTTATCGCAGGTAAAATAACTTCAAATCAGACCTGATTTTTTACACTGATTTGGCTCTACAGTTTCTTCTTTGTTTCCTGTGTGCGTGTGCCAACCAGTTTCAAAAGCCAGCTGAAGACCAGACTGATCACTTCCTGTTGCTTAAATAAACTTTGCCCCAGAGTAGGAACTCTTTATTTGGCATCCCCATTCCCATAGAAAAATACCAAGTTCAGAACAGATTCCAGGACTAGGTGGGATGATCAGATGTCTTCCTAGGACCAACCATGGTTTGAGTTTACAGGACAAACAAGACCATTTACAGATTGTAAATATGATCACTACATTTTTGGGGTGCCAATAATGGCCCTCATTAACACATTAAGAACTATAAACAGATCCACCCTCTATATTTCTTTCACATACAAGAACGATAGATGCACAAAAATAGCTATACAGATTCAGCAGACTAACTGTAAAATGGATATGTTACAGAATCTGTTATTGCATAGAGCATCTTTGAGTCATGCATATTCATATTCACAAGCCAATTCTTATAAGGTAGGGGTGGGGGAGCATCACAGATGCAACTTCCTTTTTAGCCACTAGCTTCCCTGTTTTGTTTTTGGAAACCTCAGGCTGGGTTTCTAGTGGCAGAAGCCAGTAAGCTGTCCAGTGTGTTTCCCTGGCTCAGAGGTTTTCCATTCCCAGCCTCTCTTTCCCCTCAATGCTGTGAGGGGGGTGGCACAGTTTCCTGAGGAAGAACTTGTGACTGGAAAGTATCACCCGTTGGCTCTAAGGAATTAAAAGGACAGGTTTTAAAATATATAAAGAACTCAGTCCACACGGTCGGAATGGCATCAGAGATCATCTATGCCGACGTGAAGTTTAAGAATGCACCACCACCTGCAGAGGCCACAGGTAAATAACAAGCTATTTAAGGGAATGGGCTCAAGGAATTTGGGGGATGGGCTATGTGACACTGGTTCCCATGCAGTCCCAAGTCAGAGGCACTGACTAGCTCAGCAGGATCAGGGACTGTGCTCCAGAGCCTTTCAGCCTTCAGGTGGAAATTGTGTCTTTGTGGTTCTAATAATAATTATAGCCATCCAGGAACCTTCCCTCAGCAGCAGAACTCTACTCCCTTTACCCCTCTCCTGAACCTGTAACTAGCACAACTGCCTTGCCTAATGTGCCCTCCCTTTTCACCCACACTTTCATATTCCTAAAGTGTTCCTGCTTATTGCCACCAGGAGCAGCCAGCCCCTCAGGGAATGTCCTCCCATCCTTCCTTTTTAGTGTGAGATCCACTCTCCCACCTCCTCGCTTGCCCTTCTCATGACTGTGGGGCCTAAATTGTAATTTTTCAGAATGGAGAGAAGTAACTAGTAGTGTTCCCCAAGGGTCAGTCCTAGGACCAATCCTGTTCAACCTATTCATAAATGATCTGGAGAAAGAGGTAAATAGTGAGGTGGCAAAGTTTGCAGACAATACTAAACTGCTCAAGATAGTTAAGACCAAAGCCGACTGGGAAGAACTTCAAAAAGATCTCATCAAACTAAGTGATTGAGGAACAAAATGGCAAATGAAATTTAATGTGGATAAATGTAAAGTAATGCACATTGGAAAAAATAACCCCAACTATACATACAATATGATGGGGGCTAATTTAGCTACAACTAAACAGGAAAGAGATCTTGGCATCATCTTGGATAGTTCTCTGAAGATGTCCACGCAGTGTGCAGCAGCAGTCAAAAAAGCAAACAGGATGTTAGGAATCATTTAAAAAGAGATAGGGTATGTCTACACTGCCACCCTAGTTCGAACTAGGGTGGCTAATGTAGTCATTCGAACTTGCAAATGAAGCCCGGGATTTAAATATCCCGGGCTCTATCTGCATGTTCCCAAGCGCTGCCATTTTTAAATGCCCCGTAGTTCGAATTACCTGCCCGCAGCTACACGCGGCACGGACTAGATAGTTCGAATTAAAACTCCTAATTCAAACTACCTTTACTCCTCCTGCAATGAGGAGTAATGGTAGTACAAATTAGGAGCTTTAATTCGAACTACCTAGCCCATGCCGTGTGTAGCCGCAGGCAGGTAGTTCGAACTATGGGACATTTAAAAATGGCGGCGCCCGAGAACATGCAAATAAAGCTCGGGATATTTAAATCTTGGGCTTCATTTGCAAGTTTGAATGACTACATTAGCCACCCTAGTTCGAACTAGGGTGGCAGTGTAGACATACCCATAGGCTGTGTCTAGACTGCATCTCTTTTCCGTAAAAGGGATGCAAATTAGACATATCGCAATTGCAAATGAAGTGGGGATTTAAATCCCCCCTGCTTCATTAGCATAAAAATGGCTGCCGCTTTTTTCTGGTTCGGAGCTTTGCCAGAAAAAAGCGCCAGTCTAGACGCGGATCTTTCGGAAAATAAAGCCTTTTCCAAAAGATCCCTTATCCCTCATTTTAAGGGATCTTTCGGAAAAGGCTTTATTTTCTGAAAGATTCACGTCTAGACTGGCGCTTTTTTCTGGCAAAGCTCCAAGCCGGAAAAAAGCAGCAGCCATTTTTATGCTAATGAAGCGGGGGGGATTTAAATCCCTGCTTCATTTGCAATTGCGATATGTCTAATTTTGCATCCCTTTTACGGAAAAGGGATGCAGTCTAGACACAGCCATAGAGAATAAGATGGAAAATATCTTATTGCCCTTATATAAATCCATGGTACACCCACATCTTGAATACTGCATACAGATGTGGTCTCCTCATCTCAAAAAAGATATACTCACATTAGAAAAGTTTCAGAGAAGGGCAACTAAAATGATTAGGAGTTTGGAACGAGTCCCATATGAGGAGAGACTAAAAAGACTAGGACTTTTCAGCTTGGAAAAGAGGAGACTAAGGAGGAATATGATAGAGGTCTATAAAATCATGAGTGGTGTGGAGAAAGTAAATAAGAAAAAGTTATTTACTTGTTCCCATAATATAAGAACTAGGGGCCACCAAATGAAATTAATGGGCAGCAGGTTTAAAACAAATAAAAAGAAGTTCTTCTTCACACAGTGCACAGTCAACCTGTGGAACTCCTTGCCTGAGAAGGTTGTAAAGGCTAGGACTATAACAGGGTTTAAAAGAGAACTTGATAGATTTATGGAGGTTAAGACCATTAGCAGGGATTGATAAGGAATGATGTCCCTAGCCTCTGTTTGTCAGAGAGTGGAGATGGATGGCAGGATCATTACCTATTTGGTTCACTCCCTCGGGGGCAGCTGGCATTGGCCACTGTTGGCAGACAGGATACTGCACTGGATAGACCTTTAGTCTGACCGAGTATGACTGTTCTTATGTTCTAACATGACCTTTAGCAGCACCAGGCTTGCTCTGATGAGATGTGAGCCCATTACCTCACACTTTCTTTAATTCTCATGCTCTGACACTTGAGGTCTGCATATTTGCTCATTAGATGGGCTGGAGATAGAGCGTTTGGCTCTAAATCTGATCTGCAGATGTCAGAAGTGGGACCCAGTGTTCCAAAGTATTCTCATCTCTAACAGCATGTTAAACTTCTCAATAAGGGTCAATAGAGGGCAACAACAGCAGTAGTTATTTATGATTGTCTAGGCTTGTCCACACTTTAGTAAAATCTTCAGGCAGTTGCAAAACCCTAAGAGTCAGGAGCTGATATGAGTAGATCTAACTGTTCTGGGATGGGATTTCTTCACCCTTAGCACACCCAGTGAAGAGCACTCCCCAAAAGCCCAACCGGTGGCTCCCATGGTTGATTGCTGCACTGTTGCTGTTGCTGGCTGTCTCTCTTCTCATTGCCCTGGTTGGTAAGTTCAAATGGACTGATTATTCAAAGAGGATGGGGAACAACTAGACAGAAAAGATGATCAGTGGAGGCTGGGGACCAGGAAACATTCCTAACAGTGAGGAGGCCAGTTAGGACTTGTCTACACTGACAAGTTACTGAGCTGACACTTTCTGGCTCAGGGGTATGAAGAATCACGTTCCAGTGGTCCTTTGGAACTCTAGACAGGCCCCAAGTATTAGGAGCTACCTCATGCAGGTGGTTTTCCTAAAGCACTAGGAGAGCACTGTTGTGTTAAATGCTGCAAGTGTAGACAAAGCTTAAGGCTGTGGAAGAGTCTTCTGAAAGAAGAGAAGAGGGAACCCAATCCCCCGGATCTGGACAAATCTGGAGCTAATACTGAAAGGAATAGTCCTGCATGGGGCTGGCGAGGGAGGGATAGGGGGTGGGTTGGACAAGCTGTAAGTTCACAGTTTTCCCTATGTCATACTGTCTGGTGTGGTACACATTGGTAAGGGCCAGTTCCAGGTCAGGCCTTCAGAAAACAAAGCAGGCACTCCAAACTAGTGGTATAATCTATATTTCAATTTTACCAAGCCAGTAATAAATGTGAACTCCTGGATCACTACATCAGTCTTGCAAGTAGGAATAAGAGATCCTCCGGAAAAGGGCTTTATTCCGGAGGATTGCGCCAGTTTGGATGCTCTTTTCCGGCTTTTCCCCAAGCCGGAAAAAAAGCGGCGGACATGTTTATTTAAATCCCGCGGGGGATATTTAAATCCCCCGCGGATTTCCCTATTCTGACTTGCCTGCTTTGCATGACTATTCCGTCTTATGTGGCCAGTCTAGACGTAGCCAAAGTGAATTGGCCTGATTACACTGCAATATTTTTTTATATTTCTTTGATTTCTATTAATACATGAGTGAATTAGGCTATGTCTAGACTGCAAAGTTTTATCGGAAAAAGATACGCAAATTGAGGTTCGCAATTTGCATATCTTTTTCCGCTTTTTTTTTTAAGAGGCTTTTCCAAAATTTGGCCCATCTGAATGGGTCCAATTTTCAGAAAAACCTCCTCTTTCAGAACATCCCTTATTCTTCTCACCGAGAGGAATACAGGGATGCTGAAAGAATGTGCCTGTTTTTTCAGAAACTGTTCCAAAAAAGCAGACGCATTCCCTGCATGTGGCAGAGCTTTTCCAGGATATCTCTGAAATCCCGGAAAAACTCTGCAGTCTAGACATAGAATTTGTCTGCAGCCCAGTCCTAAGCTGCATGCACTTGTGCATCCAGGATAACAGAACCCGAGAGCTGTCCTATCCTATTCCTTGGGGAGGTTTCTGATGGCATTTGTGACATTAAAGGAAGCAATGGAGAAGCTGTCTCTGGTTAACACCGGAGGAAGTCACGATGTACAGAAGAGATGGCAAGAAGGAGAGAAATATTCTAACCACTCCTCTCTCTCTCTCTCTCTCTCACTCATCTTTTACAGTTACTCATGTTGGCCTCGGGACAAGTCAAAGTTGTGAAGAGTACAAGTTGGTGAGGAAGTATGTAAAAAAGAGGAACTGTGTTGAAGAAGAAACTGAAGGAAAAGGTCAGTAACGCTGAAAGAGAACAGACCCCAGAGTCGGCTTGCTGGGATTGTGACCTGATTAATAGTCAGACCTAAATTAACTGTAAATAATGTAAGGGGTTTTCAGGAAAGAATAGGATAATTGCACAGGCATAGTACTGCAATTGAGGATAAATCCAGGTAAATGGAGCTCACTCACTTCTCATTTGGGGAATATCTGGTTTAGTTTAAGTTAATGTACCCACTTCTTTTGTTACTACTACACCACTGCGTAGGCTATCCATTGTCTGGAGAACTACCAAGAAATGTACATCTTCTATTTATGAAACACCTTAGGCGCACACAATGCTTTAAGCTTCCTGTTGGGGATTTCTTTGACTAAAAGAGAATAGTTATGCTGACTGAAAAAAAAATCAAACTAAATATTTTCCAATCAGAAAATGAAATTTCATCTAAATACGAATTTTCCATGAGAAAAGATTTTGGTGGCCTTTTCCATCAGGAAAATTGAAATGAAAAGCTTTGATTTGGGATTGTTAGAACATTTCATTTCAGTCAAAAAATCTGGAGCACAATATTCTGACATTTCAAAACAACAATTTTTCAAAACTTTTCATTCCACAAAAGCTTTGAATATGTTGATTTTCCATTCTGATTTGGGATGAAAACAAATGCCAAAATGACAGCATTTTCAGTGGGATGGCACATATCAGTTTTTGAGACACTAATTTTTAACATACTTCTCTTTCTTGTATAAACTTCTGTTTAGCCTAAATCAGACACCCTTACATGGAGACATATGTTAAAATATTATTTTCCCCTAAAAAATCCAAAGAGAGATTATACTTTTAATGAATTATACTTTTAGCATGAGTGCACCTTAAAACAGTAAGAAGCTTCATTGCAGGTAACTCAGCACCTAAATGCACAGATCATGGTTAGCGTAGCCTGGGTGTGAGCTTGCCTGTGTACAGCTAGACCTGAGTTACTGTATCATCACTGTATCCCCACGCATCCATGTATGTCTGTGTCCATATCACATGGCTCTGTGTGCTGAGATGCTTTAGGGTACTTCTCCAGTCAACTCGATCAATGTCAGGAGAATTTGTTTCTCCTTTGGGGGGCAGCTGTAGGAAGGTATTGGAGGACTTTCAGAGCATTTTACCTGTGTCCTCACTGAAAAGAGGAGAGGTCCTAGCGCTAGTGAAAGTGGAACTTGGACTCAGGCTACGTCTACACTGCACTGTTATTTCAGAATAAGCTATTCCAGAATAGTCTGAGGCAGGCTTCCGCAATATAGACATGCTACCTCCATTTAGAGCCCCAGGAGGAATAACTTACAGGAAGGATGTGGATGCATTGGAGAGTGACCAGCGGAGGGCAACCAAAATGATTAGGGGGCTGGAGCATACAACCTACGAGGAGAGGCTGAAGGAGTTGGGTCTATTTAGTTTGCAGAAGAGAAGAGTGAGGGGGGATTTGATAGCAGCCTTCAACTTCTTGAAGGGAGGTTCCAAAGAGGATGGAGAGAGGCTGTTCTCAGTAGTGACAGATGGCAGAACAAGGAGCAATGGTCTCAAGCTGCGGTGTGAGAGATCCAGGTTGGATATTAGGAAAGACTATTTCCCTAGGAGGGTGGTGAAGCACTGGAATGGGTTACCTAGGGAAGTAGTGGAGTCTCCATCCCTAGAGGTGTTTAAGTCTCGGCTTGACAAAGCGCTGGCTGGGTTGATTTAGTTAGTATTGGTCCTGCCTTGGGCAAGGGGCTGGACTTGATGGCCTTCTGAGTTCTCTTCCAGCTCTATGGTTCTATGATTCTATAATTCTATGAACTTAGAATGGCCCTGGTAAGGGGCTATTTTGAAATAGCAGAATTGGAGAGTCTCCATATTCCTTATTTGAAATAGATATTTCAAAATAGGCGTTATTCTTTGTAGAATTAAGTTTACAGAAGTTGGAATAAGCTGTCCATTATTTCAAAATTATTTCAAAATAATGGAATTGCTGTGTAAAAACACCCTCAACCCCCAGCCAGATACACTAGGTCAGAGGTAAAGTTCCTTCAAACCCAGATCAGAGATTTTTCTTTGTGGATGCCTATGGGTGGGATCTGGGTTGGTCTAAAATCTGGGTAAAAACCCACATTAACTCTATAAGGCAGAACAGATGCAATCCTGATCCCCCTGAAGTCAGTATTTTTACCCTAACTGCTATGGCTGCCGTCTCCAACAATTCCATCAAACTCACACTCTAGACTAACACAAAACCTCATATGTCTATTAACTGACTGACACAGTCCATGCATTTGAGAAATTATTGTGCTTTCATGTTGCTGAGATGAGTGAGACTTTTCCTGTAGCTTCTTGTTTCCATGCTTTGGATGCAGCCTTAATTATCACTAAGTAAAGGGTTTTTTTCCTGGTAAATTGCTCGCATATGCTGATTCTAGTAATAAAAAAAATACATTTAATGAGAGTGCAAGATGAATTATACATAAGTCATTTGTGGGACTTCAGTTGTGGGAATCTGAGGAAATATGAGTCTATTCGAAGATCTGCATGATAAAATATTTAGAGACACTATTTCTATGGAGTCATATGATAAAAGTATAACTAATTCATTTGAAATGTGAGCCTCTTTTTGGATTTCTTAGAATAAAAGGAAAACTTTCAACATATTGAAAGTCTGTGAGAATTCAGGCTGTATGGAGAATGGAGAGAGGGAACTAGTGGTGTCTCCCAGATGTCCAAAGTGGGGCCAATCCTATTCAACATATTCATAAATAATCCGGGGAAAAGGATAAACAGTGAGGTGTCAAAATTTGCAGATGATACTCAACTGTTCAAGAAAGTCAAAACAAAAGCAGACTGTGAAAAGCTTCAAAAGGATCTCACAAAACTAGGTGACCGAGCAACAAAGTGGTAGATGAATTTTAATGATGATAAATGCAAAGTAATGCATAGTGGAAAACATAATCCCAACTATACATATAAAAATATAAAAAAGCATATAAAATGATGGGGACTAAATTAAGCATTATCACTCCAGAGAGAGATCTTGGAGTCACTGTGAATAGTTCTTTGAAACAGAATGTTAGGAATCATTTAAAAAGAGATAGAGAATGAGGGTACGTCTTCCCTAGCACCCTAGATACATCTAGGGAGGCTAATGAGGGCGACCGAAATTGCAAATCAAGCCTGGGATTTAAATATCCCACACTTGATTTGCATGTTCCCGGCAAGTCACCATTTTAAAAATTGACTAGCCTCAAGTAACTGCCCCCGTCTACTCGTGGCAGTGAAACGGGATTGCGATTTAAAGCCCTAACTCGAATTAGCTGGTATTCCTCCTGCAATGAGGTTTACCAGCTAATTTGAGTTAGGGCTTTAAATCAGAATCCCGTTTCACTGCTGCGTGTAGACGCGGGCAGTTACTTCAGGCTAGCCAATTTCTAAAATGGCGACCGGCCAGGAACATGCAAATCAAGCACGGGATATTTAAATCCCGGGCTTCATTTGCAATTTCGGTCGCCCTCATTAGCCTCCCTAGATCGATCTAGGGAGCTAGTGTAGACGTACCCTAAAAGAATAACTTATTGCCTCTATGGTACACCCATATCTTGAATACTACTAATGCAAATGTGATTGCCTGATCTAAAAATATGTTATCTTGACATTGTAAAAATTTCAGAAAAGGACAACAAAAATTATTAGGGTTATGGAATGTCTGCCATATGAGGAGAGATTAATAAGACTGGGATGTTGCAGCTTATAAAAGAGATAACTATGGGTGGATATGATAGAGGCCTATGAAATCATGATGCAAGAACTAGGGGCTACCAAATGAAATTAATAGGTAACAGATTTAAAATAAACAAAAGGAAGTATTTCTTCACAGAATGCACAGTCTACCTGTGGAACTCCTTGCCAGAGGATGTTGTGAAGGCAAGGACTTTAACAGGTTTCAAAAAAAGAAAAAAAAAGAGCTAGATAAATTCAGGGAGGATAGGTTCATCAAAGGGTATTAGCCAGAATGGGTAAGAATGGTGTCCCTAACCTCTGCTTATCAGAAGCTGGGAATGGGCAACAGGGAATGGATCACGTGATGATTACCTATTCTGTTCATTTCCCTCTGGGGTACTTGACATTGGCCACTGCGGCTATGTTTAGACTGCAGAGTTTTTCCGGGATACCAGAGGTATCCCGGAAAAACTCTGAAAAAAGGGCGTATTCTTTTGGCATCCCTGCATTCTTCATTTTATGAGGAATAAGGGATCTTCCCAAAAGAGGAGGTTTTCCCCACATTTGGCCCTATGTAGATGGGCCAATGTCGGAAAAGCCTCTTCAGAAAAAACAAGTGGAAAAAGGAACGCAAATTGCGGTTTACAATTGACATATCTTTTTCCAACTGCTCCCTCCCCCCGCAGTATAGACATAGCATGTGAGAACACAGGATAATAATCTAGATCAGTGGTTTTCAAAGCTGGTCATGGGCCTGCCCAGGTAAGCCACTGGCGGACCTACAACATTTTATTTATCTAAGTGTCTGTGGTCACTGAGCCTCACAGCTCCTATTGGCTGCGCTTCACTGTTTCCAGCCAAGGGGAGTTGCAAGATTTTTCTGGGAGTAAAACATTTTGCAGATATTCCCATTCTTTCCCCCCATTTAACACAATTCTCCAAGGCAACTTTAAATATGACTTTGTTACTGCTCCCCATCATATTACCAATTAGAGACTATCAGGTGAGAGGGCAGTGGTAGAAGACTGAGTGAAAGGAATGAGTTTTGAGGAGTGGTTTGAGGGAGTAGTATATGGGGTCCAGATATGAAGGACATAGTGAGAAAAGGTGCAGACTTGCTTATGGGGAAGAGCAGGAGAATACTGAGATGAGCTGAAGTGCCTACATGCAGGAGGCAGAAGCAGCTCTAGATGAAATGGAGAGTGGCAAAGTTGTGGAGAGTCTTGAAGATGAAATGAGGGGTTTGAATCTGACACAGGCAGAGGACAAAAGCCAGTGAAGAAATTCAAGTGGGGAGGGATTGGCCAGCAAACTGGATGGGTTTAAAGGGTGCCATGCAGAACCTGAGACTGGAGGCGGGTAGGAGCAGTAGACAAGATAAGAGAGACATGGTCAAGTTACGGCCTGAGGACTAGGCAGTAGGGACGGAGAGAGGGGAAAGGACAAACAGCGCTCAGGATATCAAGGTACCTCTGGGAAGAGGTACGCATGAATGGCTGGTAAGGGTGAGAGTCATCACAGAAGAGAAAACACATGAAGCCATTAGAGTGGATGAGGTCAGGTAGAAGACCATTGAGAAAGGAAATGGACAGGGGTTAGAAAGTGAAGGAGGACATGCTAAGGAAGAGGCTGCCAGGGTAAGTACAGAAGCAGAAAGGCCCAACAGTCCAGCCCAGAACTACTTAGTGGCTACGTCTACAATGGCATGATTTTCCGGAAATGCTTTTAATGGAAAAGTTTTCTGTTAAAAGCATTTTCGGAAAAGCGTGTCTAGATTGACAGGATGCTTTTCCGGAAAAGCACTTTTTGCGGAAAAGTGTCAGTGGCCAATCTAGATGCGCTTTTCCGCAAAAAAGCCCCAATCGCCATTTTTGCAATCGGGGCTTTTTTGCAGAAAACAAATCTCTGCTGACTACACTGGCCCTTTTGAGCAAAAGTTTTTCGGAAAAGGGACTTTTGCCCGAACGAGAGCAGCATAGTATTTCCGCAAGAATCGCTGATTTCTTACATGAGATCGTCAGTGCTTTTGCGGAAATTCAAGCAGCCAGTGTAGACAGATGGCAAGTTTTTCCGCAAAAGCAGATGATTTTGCAGAAAAACTTGGCAGTCTAGACACAGCCAGTGTGTATTAACCACCTTCCTGGACCCCAAGGATGCAAGTGACAAAGAGGAAAAGAACTGACAAGGAGGACTTTGGGGGAAGAATTAGGGATAAAGAAGATGAAGTAGGAGAACAAATTAATTCAGTCTTCTGGTTGTGAATCACTTCCACATCACAAAGGCCTCTGTCGTCCCCATAACTCAAGACATGCCTGGAATAAAGTGGAAGGAAGCATCCTATCTTGGCCCTGGGAACTGAAATGGGTATCACTTCACAAGACCTTTCCATTTTTCTTTTCTGTGGTTCATTCTTCTTTTCCCTCACAGGGCAAGTCTGGACATGCTGCCCCAGCGGCTGGGAGACCTTTCAGGCCAGCTGTTACTACTTCTCTAATGACACCATGACCTGGGATGACAGTGAGAGGAACTGCACAGGGATGGGCTCTCACCTTGTGGTGATCACCACAGGAGCTGAGCAGGTGACTTGCAGGGAGTCATGATCCACTGGGCTCTCAGGCTCTGTCTACATTGCTGGGTTTTTTTGGCAGAAGATATGCAAATTGCACTATCATTTGCATATCTTCTGCCGATCCTTTTTGTGGAAGAGGTTTTTGCAATAAAAAGCACCATGTAGATGGGGCCATTTGTTGGGAAAAAAATCTTTTGTGCAAGATCCTGTAAACCTAATTTTTGAGGAATAAAGGATCTTGAGCAAAAGGGGATTTTTCTGACAAATGGCCCCATCTATATGGGGCTTTTTAGCAGCAAAACTTCTTCCACAAAAAGGATTGGCAGAAGAAAAGCAAATGAGAGTGCAATTTGCATATTTTCTGCAGGGGGAAAAGAACCCTGGCAGTGTAGATGTAGCCTCAGGGTGCAGGTGTGGAGAGGATGTTTAGGCTTTGTGTTCATTTAGTCCTGGGTTTCCTCATTCATCCTATCCTCACCCCTGCTCTACAGGGGTTCCTGCCTCCTAGGGTCTGTCTAGTGACTACACCTAGTGGAGATTTTATTTTATCTTTTTCCAGGATTTCATCCTCACTCAGATAAATGGAACAGTTACAGACCTAAAAGGAAGAAATTACTGTATTGGTCTGATTGATCGGAATAAGAAAGGGCAGTGGTCCTGGGTGGATCAGACACCATATAATGATACTGCAGTGTGAGTATTTCTGGCTTGGAGACCTGCTACCATCCTCTGTTTAAGTTCCAGGATTAGTATACAATGGTGAAAGAGAGAGAGAGAGAGACAGCCTTGACCGGAGCTATTTATTTCTAGTTTAGTAGAAGATTTACTCCAGGAACATGGAGGCTCTGTATGTATTTCAGACGTGTACCAGAAGAAGAGGAGTGCAGTGGCTGATTCAAGTGTTGCAATTCTCCTTCTCCTCTTCTCACCAGCTACCAGCTCTGTAAAATGGAACTCTCTGGTCCAGCAACATCCATTTTCTGGATGGCTGGACCAGAGAGTCCCAGTGGAGGGCTGGTGGCTGGACTGCTTGGCGGGGTGGGAGCCCAGCACACAGGGAGCTGGGCTGCCCAGCATAGCTTAGAAGCAGCTGAGGGGACTGGCAGGGCAGTGAGGCTGGTGACAAGGGGGAACGTGGCCAGGCCAAGGCTGGGGAGTGGGGGTGGTAACAAGGGGACCAGATATGAGCTCCCTTGGTTCAGCAATATCCCTCATCTGGGATTAATCAGGTCCCAAGGGCTCTGGACCAAGGGGTCTAACCTGTACAGCTCTTTCCCCTGCAACATTTATATAATGATGCATCTCTAACACATGAGCTTCTCTCTCCTACAGGTTCTGGAGACCTGGAGAACCCAGTAAACACGACAATGAGAATTGTGCTGTCATGCATGTGTCAGGAGAACAAAACACAAATGGAAACAGAAACTGGAATAATGTCCCTTGTTTCAATACATTTCATCGAATTTGTGAAACGGCAGCACTTAGATTTTGAGAGCAGAAACCCAATCCTGGACAGGAGGCAGAAAAGTCTGCTCATCTCTCACTTGGGGTCATCTCACAGAGAGATCTGACGGTGAGAGAGGGGGAGGAAGAGGAGAGGTTGGAAAAGCCCTGGGCTATTATGTCATTGGAGTAGGTGGTAGAGGATAATGTTGAGGCACAAACTCACACACTACATCTATTTTGAAGAAACTTGAAAACTGCTGAAAATATCTTAAGTGGAACAAGCAAAATGCAGTCAGCTCTGCCCTGTGATGTCATTGAAGCTCCCACGTAGTTGGTGAAAGAGACAGGCTGGAAAAGGAAAGACCTGCGGGTTTGCCATGCAAAATGTTGTGGAGAGGTTTCCTATTCATATTAACCTTCCCAGTGCTGGTCAAGGTAACAACTTACAGGGTACGTCTAGATTACATGCCTCCGTCGATGGAGCCATGTAGATTAGGTTTGTAGACATAAGAAAATGAAGGGGTGATTTAAATAATCGCCGCCTCATTTAAATTAAAATAGGTGCCATGCTGTGCTAATCAGCTGTTTTTTGGCACAGCGCAGGAGTCTGAACGCTCCACAGTCGACATCAAAAGCCTTTGTCGACAACCCCGTTATGCCTCGTGGGATGAGGTTTCCTGGGGCAGTCGACAAAGGCTTTTGATGTTGACCGCGGACTGTCCAAACTCCCGTGCTGTGCCGACAAACAGCTGATCGGCACAGCGTGGCAGCCATTTTAATTTAAATGAAGCGGTGATTATTTAAATCGCTGCTTCATTTTCCTATGTCTACAGGAACAAGGCCTGGTTCAAACTGCAAAAATAACTAGGTCTGATGGATTTCCTCTTGTCTCTGCTGTAAGTCAGTTCCACCTTATACCAAAGATGGTGCTTTGTCTCTGAACAGGGACAAAGGCTTGTCTATTAATGAAATTAAACCCCTGTGATCCGACAGATCCTGTAAACCTCCTTGCAGGAGGCATAAGGGATCTGTTGAAAAAGGCTTTCTTTCTCGACAGATCCCCCTCTAGACTGCCACTTTTTGCTGACAAAGTGCTGAGTTGGCAAAACGTGGTGGCCATTTTTATGCAAATTAGGCACGGGATATTTAAATCCCTGCCTCATTTGCACTGTCGACCTGCCTAATCTGCATCCCTCTGCCAACAGAGGGATGCAGTCTAGACATACCCATAGAGAGCCTGTTTTGGACTAATTTCAAGGATTCCCTGTAGTGGGGACATGCTAGTTCGAATTTTTTAATTTGGGAGCTATTAAATCGAATTTAGTAATTTTGAAATACTTTCCTTGTGAAAACATGGCCTTTGTGAAACTGATGCATTTGTCTCATGGAGGACAGCCCACATCTGAAAGCAACAACACTGAACCCTAGAAGATTGTGTGATGTTTCTGTTTTAGTTGGGCCCTCTAATCTGGCTGCACGTGCAGTGTAAAAAATGCCTTAGCAGTACAGTAAATAGCTACTATTCCTAATAATTACTGTCTGGGATAAATGTTCACAAGCAGAAGGGCTGTAAAACCTCTGTAAAAACCCAAACTGTAAGTATTATGGCCACTGATTCTTGTCGGCAGTTTAAACATATTCTTCCTATCCCACAACAAATCAATGATTGGGCTACAGCCACAAACACCTGTTGTGCTGAGGTGCAGAAAGAGGGCAGGATTTCAGCTGAGACACTGATCCTAAGACTGTAGCTTCTAGGCATTGAAAAGACTGTCTAGTTCACAGCTCACCCTGGTCTGGGCACCAGGGCAGAGTCATTCCCTCAGCACATACTCCACTTCCTTATCTCACCTAGCTTTGAATGACTTGAACAATGAGGTTTAATGGACACCACCACTTCCCTCAGTCCTGCTAATGGATGGAGAGGCCGAATAGCTGATACTGTTTAAATGGTTCTCTCATAGGCTATGTCTAGACTGCAGGCTTCTTTCGAAAGAGCCTCTTTCGAAAGATCGCGTCTAGACTGCAGGCGGATCTTTCGAAAGAGAAATCCGCTTTTTCGAAAGAGAGCACCCAGCGAGTCTGGATGCTCTCTTTCGAAGACGGCCTCTTTACATTGAAGAACGCCTTCTTTCAAAAGAGGAACTTTCGAAAGAAGGCGTTCTTACTCGTGAAATGAGGTTTACCGCCATCGAAAGAAAAGCCGCGTTCTTTCGAATTAATTTTGAAAGAACGCGGCTTGAGTCTGGACGCAGGGGAAGTTTTTTCGGGAAAAGGCTACTTTTCCCGAAAAAACCCCTGAGTCTGGACACGGCCCTAGGTAGAGTCCAATGTTTCCTCTAATTTTTTTCATCCATGTGTGGAATGATTTTTGTTATCTGTACCAAGGCATGTGTGGATGTGCACCAACAGCAGAAACACGTGCTGCCGGCTTTGGTTGCTCGGCTAATGGACTGGATCCATCCCAAAGGCCAGAATTTGTTCACTTCTGATTTTAATGCCTTGTTACTTGAATTCACTTAAAATCTATCTTTTTGTAGCTAATCGTTTTGTTCTTTAATCAAAATCAAACCAGCGTTGTGCAATGTTTACTTAACTCCATTTAAGGAGGCAAGTTTGAATCTTCTTGTGTGGCTGCTCAAACTCTGAGTTTACAGGGAATATGGGTGGGGTCCTAGCTTTTTTTCTCTGAATGGTGTGAAGTTTCCTTTTATGCGTGGTCCTCTTGAGGCTGTATCTATTGATGACTTTATCTTAATAAAGTCACATTTTAATACTGTACACAGAATCTCAGTTGGTTGATTCCTTGGCACTAAGTATGACCCCTTGCAAAGTGTGAGTATCCCAGTGTGCTGGGATGAAATCTTATTCAGTCACCCTCATTCGACTTGGGCAGCACAACTCTTACTTATCCTCCCATTGTCTGGTCCCATTTCTGCCAGTGCCCCTCAGCCCTGCCCTGCAGCCCCCTGCTATTCCAGCCCTGGGCTCCCCTCCCAGCCCTGCCAGTGCCCCTCAGTCCTGCCCTGTAGCCCCCTGCTATTCCAGCCCTGGGCTCCCCACACAGCCCTGTCAGTGCCCCTCAGTCCTGCCCTGCAGCCCCCTGCTATTCCAGCCCTGGGCTCCCCTCTCAGCTCCACCACTGCACTCCATGTCTTCCCACAGTGCTCCTATTTCTTTTAATCTTAGGGGTTAAGGACAGATGGGTTAGATATGTAGCATAAAGGTTTATTGAAAATAGAACCTATGTATTCTGAGCAAACCACTGTTTCAAATGATGCACCAAACAAAGAGACCCAGGAAATGCTCATAGCTCCTAAATAACACTCATTTTGTATAATGGACCTGTAGGGTGACCGTATGTCCTGTTTTGACAAGACAGTACCTTTCTTAAGTCTTCTTCTGGCCATTCAGCCTAGGGTGTGAAGATTAAGTATCATGAAGTGTTTTCTCTTGTTAGCCAAGGGCAATAAAAAATGGCAGCTTGCCAGGGTTATTTCCCGGCGGGCTGCCGCAAATTTGCTTACCTGCGCCTCTGCAGGTATCGGATGATTGCAGCTCTTGTCTGCTGTGGATTGCCACTCATGGCAAATGTGAGTGGCAGGAAGTGGCATCCCAGGGTGCAGGCCTGCCAAGGATTAACCCTGAGGACCGGATCCATCCCAGAGGCCAGGATTTGTCCACTTCTGATTTTAATGCCTTGTAACTTGAACTCACTTAAAATCTTTTTGTAGCTAATCGTTTTGTTCTTTAATCAAAATCAGACCAGCGTTGTGCAATGTGTACTTAACTCCATTTAAGGAGGCAAGCTTTTGTATCTTCTTCTTTACAATGGGACTAAACATTTTGACTGTCTAGAAGAGGGCTGGACTGTACAAAACAGCCTCTTCTCGCAGGAAAATGTCAGACTGGGAATCACCCTGCAAGTAGTAACAAAATCTGGTAGGTTCCAGCATGTGGCTGGAAGGGTTCCAGACTCAAAAGTGTAGAACCACGGTCAGACATAGACCTTCAGGGTGTTACCTGTATTGTATTTGTGAGCATCCCAGGTTGAGAAGCACAGCAGCAAAGTATTATGAGGCATCCTAAGGTGCAGAGGGAGGATGACACAGCACCTCCATTGATCAGTATTATCATAGATTCCCTGTATGGCCCAGTGACAGGTGGTATGTGACAAGTAGGAGTGAGTGATCTGTAGGTTTTTTTCTATATTGAAGTAGGTTCTGTGTTCATAGGTGGCCCATTCTATGAGGGAATACTTCTCTGGTGGAGTGTAGATGTCTGATGAAGGCAGATCTAAGTATGTTAAGATAAGTATCCCGGACTGCTTCCTTGGAACATATGTCCACCCCACAACTCGGAAACCACAGAATAAGATTTCTTGCTGTGTGGGGATTGATTGCTGGGTTTGTGGAGGTAAATGTGGAGATACATGGGTTTCTTGGGTATAGCTGTATATAGGGTTGCCTTGTTGTGGCTGACTGGGGTGTTGATGCTAGTCTTCTACAGAAAGCTTGATGGATGGGTAATGGTCATTGAAGTTGTGGTGAAAATCTATGATTATGACAGATAATGGCAATGTCCTGGACCAACCTTAATTCAATGAGTTGAATCCAAGTGCATTACATTTATGCATCATTTTGGATCAGGGATTGTATGTAATTCTGTGAGGGAGGGAAACCACAGCTCTGTCAGGAACAAAATGCTGGCAGGTGATTAGGCAAAATCATTCAAGTTGTAACATTTCCAAACCACTTCCTGTGCTGGCTGCATGTATTTGTTCAAACTGGGTTCTCTAAAAAAACAAGAGACAAAGCAATTTATCACACTAAATATTGTTTCTTCAGGATTAGCTAGGTATGTGGGCCACAAGAGAGAAATTGTTATTGATTTATTCCTCAGTTGGCAACAAAATTTTAATAATCCCTAGACTACATTTTAATAAACCCCATAGAGGGCATACCCCAAATTGCTGGCAGATTCTTCATTTTTCTTGACTCCATTGTTGAAGGTTGTCCTGCTCAATCTGTAGTTCAGGGACTGTTCTAAGGCATCCATGACAGAGGCATATTCCCTTGAGTATCACGTGTCAGTTCTTCAAACATTTCCCCGGCTCTGCTTTTGGCCAACAGACCAAAAACTCCAATTGGGTGGCTTCACATTAGCGATTTATCCTTGCAGCTCATTCAAAATGGCTGGCCCAGTCTTATGCAATTCTCAGTACTCAGTTTGGATATGAAGATAAGCTGCCATATTTCTCTGCCAGTGGTGCCTTGTCTATTTCCCTCTTGAGGGATCAGGGAACATATCAATAGTTTGATTGTTGATTTCCACCCAAGTAGCCCGCTGGTCTGGGGCAAAAGGCCCAGAAATTCTGGCCAGGCGGTCCTGGGGCAGAAATGCTCTGGCACAAATGTGAACCGCTGCCCTTCCCCTTCCCCCAGACTCCTCTCCTTCTGGAAACACTTGGCGCAGAGCAAATCTCCTGCCAGTGAC